AAAGCTTAGGCTTCGTGAGGAAAGCCTGGACAACTGAGTTGTCCGTGCGCACCGTGAAGGGCGCCCCGTGCAGATAATGACGCCAATGCCGGGTAGCATAAACTACTGCGAGAACCTCACATTCATCGGCAGTGTAGTTTATCTCGGCAGGCAGTAGCTGACGGGAGTAGAAAGCGATCGGGCAATCCCCAGCACGAGCCTCGACAGTCCCATCCTCCACGGTGGTCGGGGAGTAAGTAACAGGAGGACTGTTAGTGGAGGGAAGTGGTGGGAGGGTAGGCGTCAGTCGAGAAGCAGTGTCAGCAGGAGCGGGGGGGAAAGGAGGAACATGGGGGTAAGGTGAATCTGAAGGAGAGGGAAACATCTGAGAAAGGACAACTCCTACTGCAAAATCTGACGCATCGGTGGTGACGATAAAGGGRCGATCAAAATCGGGAAGGCAAAGAACCGGGGCACAGGTCACCGCCTTCTTGAGGGCGCGAAAGGCGTCCTCGCACAGGGGTGTCCAAAACCATGGCGGGTTCTTCCGGAGGAGGGTGGAGGTAAGGACGTAGGAATACCTAGCGTATCCCTGGATAAAATTACTATAGTAGCTGGTGAGGCCTAGAAARCTGCGAAGCTGCTTGGCAGATGCGGGGACGGGCCACTCTGCAATAGCACTGATCTTCGCGTCGTCCATGTGGAGACCCTGGTCAGACACATGGTGTCCTAGGAAGTCCACTTTGCCCTGGGCAAAGCGGCACTTACTGAGCTTGGCATAGAAGCCATGCTTGCGTAAGCGCTGTAGGACATCGCGGAGGTGTCTGAGATGGTCTTCTAAGGTACGACTGTAGACCAAGATGTCATCCAGGTATACGAGAACGTATTCTTCAAGGACGTCCCTAAAGATGTCGTTCATCGTCGTCTGGAAGGTGGGGGGGGCATTGGTGAGGCCGAATGGCATCACTGTGAACTCGTAGTGGCCGAAGCGCGACCGAAAGGCGGTCTTCGGCTGATCCTCTGTGGCAACGCGGATCTGTTGGTAACCGCTACGAAGATCGATCTTCGTGAAGAAGCGGTTGCCTGCTAGACGGTCAAACAACTCATCCGCGCGGGGCATGGGATAGCTGTTCTTAACCGTGTAACGGTTAAGGCCGCGGTAGTCGATGCAGAGGCGAAGAGTTCCGTCCGCTTTGCGAGCAAAGAGGACAGGTGCACCCCAAGGGGAGTTACTGGGTTTAATGAAACCCAGTCGAAGGAGCTCCTCAAGTTGACGCTTGAGTTCCGTCGCCTCTGGAATCGAGAGTCGGTACGCTGCCTGATGGTGAACACGATAGTCAGGCACGAGCTGTATAGAATGCTCAACACCGCGCATCGGGGGAATCCCGCTGTATGAGAAGTATGGGGGAAAGACGTCGTGGTACTGTCGAATCAGGTCGCGAACGGCGGGCTCTAAGTTTGTCGTGAACCGTGTGAGTTCCTCAGCGTCTGCGTCGGCACGAGACGTATATGTGGACTCGACGGTCGGCGACGCAGGGGCCTGGGACGTGGAGGGGGTATCCGCAGGCTGACGGGTGGATGTGGAGATGGGAGCCGTGAAGATGGAGGAAGGGTCAGGGGGATCGGGCTCCAGTGAGATGAGCTCAACCTCGGGACAGAGTGGATCATAGCGAAGAAGATCCATGACGT